AACCAGGAGTCCAGCTGAGGGCCTAGATTCCGCGATAATGTCCTATATGAGTCTAGCTGAAGACCTAGAGCCCATAACAATGCCTCCCATGAATCCAACTGGAGGTCTAGAGCCCATAACAATATCTCAAGCAGGCCTGTTTCATGGATCTGCACTGGGAAGGCCCAAAGGTCAGTGGCAAAATCTAGAAAGTCTGTGCCAGCAGGATGAAGGGTCTGTGCTAGTAGGGTGAGGGATCTGCACTGGAGCCAGGAAGTGATGCTCAGAAAAAGCAGAGCTCCCTTGAAAGGAACCACAGCCATCCTTAGCAACAGTAAGGTGCCCAGCTCCTCTGATGATCAAGATGGCTGAGTTCCCATCAGGAAAGGCAACACAGCAAGCTTCTCCAGGAGACTGGCAGTGCACCATCTTCCCCTCTGGAGCCAGGAGGCAATGCTCAAAGTGAGGACCAGAGCTCCCCCAAAGTGAACCGAAGCTATTCTCAGTGCCAACAAGGTCCTGAGCTCCTTGGAGGATGAAAACAGCCAAGTTCATCAGGAAAGCCAGCATGACAAGCTCCTCCAAAAGAACCAACAGTTCCTTACAGCTTCTACCAGCTTCAACAGCCTTTCTCAGCTCCCAGCAGCCTCACTTCTTCTCCAGTTCTGCCTCTTATGCTGCTGACAACAGTCCTCAGGTGGGCCTCCCACACCCAGCACCACACTTGCTCACTTCCGCCGAGGGGTTAGAAGCTGACCACCAGTTGTCAATCCACTACAATCATTCTGTTGTTCTTTTTTTGCCTCTCACACAAATGGGATCTCCCATCTTCTAAGGCCCAATTCAAAACCACCCTCTTCTGGAAAACCTACCTTGACACATACTCCCATTGCTTGATCTTTCCAAGACTTTAAACTCTTCTAGCACCCAAGTATCACATGGACCAGTGCATTCAACCTTGTTCAGATGCGGCAACTGTGCATTATGCATTTTATGTCGAAGAAGGATCCTTACTTTTTTGTGTTAGATCTTCACTGCCACATTCACAGAAGGCACTTGACAAGCTAAGATGAAGTGGACGAACCCTCTAGATAACTTATGCAACTTCCCATAGAGCAGGGGAACACCATGGAAAGTCACGAACTTCGGCATCGTACAGGCCAGGTCTCAAATCAGGCCCTGCCAGCGCTTCTATGCTTGCCCCTTGGCAGTTTGCTGAGTTTCTGCCCAAGACTCAGCGTTTTAATCTGAAGCTATGCAGGCTAATAGAATCCCCCAGGACGGAAAATAAAAATCTGATGAAAAGTATACAAAGGGCCTTGTGTGTAGCGGGTACTGAGGGAAGGGTAGCTGTCATTAGAAATTATAGCCTTGACCACAAAAATGCCTGAGCAGTGGCTCCATTCATGCTTTGCCTTGGGCTAGAAAACAATCAGAGCTCTTCCAATTTTTTTTAAGCTTTAGGAGAAAAAGAGTTCAGTGTCTCTGAGGAAATCAGTATAAATACAGTCATTTTCATCCACAAAAGTTTCTGTTCACTGCACATATTTCTCATGATATGTAAGTGTTCTCAGTCCTTAAGTCTTGGATGAAAGTTTGTAGCCAAATAAAGAATCCACAAATTCTAACTACAGCTGCTAAAACACGTAAAACTTTTGAAGACATGGGCACTGGCAAGGGATTCCAGAACAAAACTCCAATTACACAAGAAATAGTAGCAAGAATCGGCAAATGGGGTCATATCAAAAGAAAACACTTCCACACAGCAAAGGGGACAACCAAGAGAGTGAAGAGACCACGACAGAATGGGAAAAAATTTTGCCAGGTATTCCTCAGTCAGAGCACTAAAATCTAGAATGAAGAAGTAAAAAAATTAGACACCCCCTAAACCAAGACCCAATCAAAAAGTGGACATAAATGAAGAGACACTTCTCAGAAGAAGAAATATAAATAGCCAATACGTACATGAAAAAATGTTCAACATCTTTGCCGATTAGAGAAATGCAAAGTAAAACCACACTGAGATTCTGTCTTATTTCAGAAAGGATAGCTATCATCAAGAACTCAAGAAAACAACAAATGCTGGCAAGGCTGTGGAAAAAAGAAACCCTTATTACATTTTTAAAAATTTTATTGGTACATTTGAGATATATAATGATAACAGTTCTCAGAGGGAATTTGTACCTGTACATGATATGTGTTTCTGCTTCTTTTTTCCCCATTCCCCTCCCCTCCCCTCAACCCCTCTTCCCCTCCTTATCTACAAAAACTTTGTTTTTATTTTTCCCTTCTATTCTCTCTTTTGCTTGTCCTATCCTGCCTTCCCCCTCTCCCTTCACTTGTTCCCTTCTTATTTAAACATTTTCTTCCCATTTCTCAATATTATACACTTTGGTCCTTATTTACACTTTCAGTTTCTCACACCAGAGAAACAATGTGGTATCTAAATATCCATGTCTGATTTATTTCACTTAACAGTCTGATCTCAAGGTACAGCCACTTATCAAGGATAAGCTAGAAATGTTTCAAGCTTATCCTTCTTTATGGCAGAAGAGTACTCCATTGTATATCTTTTACACTGTTGTAAGGTGTAAATTAGTATAACCATTATGGAAATCAGTGAGCAGACTTCTCAAAAAACTAAAACTAGAAATTCCATTTGACCCACCTAGATACCCTTCTGGTGTATTCCTGAAGTCAGAGACATCATATGGCAGTGACACATGCATTACCATGTTTATAGCAATTTAACTCATAATAGCTAAATCTTGGAAGCAGCCTATATTTCCAGCAACAGATGAATGGGTAAAGAAAATATGGTATATATACACAATGGAGTACTACTCTGCCATAAAGAAGGATAAATCTGAGACATTTGTAGGAAAATGGATGTACCTTGAGACTATAATGATGAGTAAAATAAATCAGAAAGAGAAGCTTAAATATCACATAGTTTCTCTTAGATGAGAAATCCAAAGTATAAGTAATTTAAAGAACAAAATTAAAAATAACAGAAAGTGGGGAAATAGACCTTTTAGAAATGGGAAAGGGATCTGGAGATGGAGGGAGGGGCAGGGAAGGGGAAGTAAAAAGGATTAAGGTATGGTATGTACATGTACCGGTTCTCCATGATAAACATATTCATTACGTATCACAGACATGAATAAAAATATTTTTAAAATTTAAAAAAATACTGTAATCATAATGAACGATCTGTCTCTATATACATACCTCCTCCCTGGCTTTCTGCACAGCCTCCATTTGGAGAAACATTCCTCCAAATGTTCCAAAGAACACTGGAATCTAGCAAAGTCTAGAAATAAGGTCTGGTATGTTACAGAGTTCAGCTGATCAAAATAAATTTAAATCGCTGGGTATGGTGGCACACACCTATAATCCCAGCCTTCGGGAGGCTGAGGCAGGAGGATTGCTGTGAGTTCAAGGTCAGCCTGGGCTACATAAATGAGTTAAAGCCCAGCCTGCACTGCATAGTGAGACCTTGCTTCCAAAACACCAAAAAAAAAAAAAAAAAGAAAGAAATTTAAACCATTCGCTCAACGAATGTTTAAAGAATGCACACTATGTGCCATGTTCTCTTGTAGGCATGTGGGAAACATCAATGAATAAAACAGGCATTATAGTTGCATACAGTTAAACAACATATATGGCAGATCTCTAATCTTAGTCTTTTACTCAATAAAAGATGGACATTGGAAACTTTCCATCCAAACCTTACAGAGGAAGGGCGAGAAGTGGGCAAAAGCAATAGAGCAAGGAAGGGATCAGGTGTGTGTGAGGAGTGGACCCCTTGCTCTAGGGGAGGCGTAGAGCTCCTGTAGATGGAGGTGGGGATGGGAGAAGAGGCCACTACGCGGGCCCATAACTTATTCCCTAGTCCCTTCCTGAAACTCTCTCTCTCACCGTTCTCTTCCACCTCCACCATGATTTACAGTCTATGCAGGAAGGAACACACTCTGAAACTGCTGCAGTTGGGGCCCTCATTCTTGTCTGCATCTCATCCAGGATCTTACTTTTGGCCCTATTCTAAACAGTTCTAATGAAAAAGACCTTACTTGATATGTCTTCTTTGATTTGCTTGTTAACCCAAGCAACAAACAAACAGGAGGCCAAACAAGGTGGTCTCAGTCTTGGTCCTGATCAGTGATCTTGGGCAGGGCATTGAACGTTTGGAAGCTGTGATTTTCTTTGCACCTGAAGAGCTCTGATATCCTGACTACTGTCTTACTTCGTCCAATGTTCATCTCCCACATAGAAATGATTGCCTTGGTGTCCATCTATATCTGCCACACATTCTCCCTGTGGCATGGATAGGACTTGATTTATGTAAAAATGATTTGTAACTATGCACAGGCTATAAATACATCAAAAGGCTATGGAAGGATATAGACCCTGTTATAGGAAATGTTTGTCTCTGGGAAGAAGTATAGGATAGGGAAGAAATAAGTCAGAACCTGTGAGTTTTGATCTATACATTTTCATAAAGTCAACCTTTGCAACACATATTACTTAGTAAGAAGAAAAAAGTCCAAGAAGTAGCACATATACAGTAGCATATGAACTAGGTTAAGGGATATAAATGAAAATTTACTTTTACATATGTTTGGGAAAATGTTTCTTGATTCCTCTCCTCAGCCTCTTAAAACTAGAGACAGAGAATGAAGATCACAATATTTAGAAGATTAGTTATCTGTGGAAAGGGGGAATGAAGGGAATATGACCGAGAAAGATCATAAAAGAGCTTCAGAAATGTTGGCAATTTCCAGTTTGCTAAATTGGATGTTAGATCCTTGAGTAACTATATTACTATTTTTCTACGAGGTCCCCTCCCTCTAATATATCTTCTCTATATTTTGATAAATTTCACAATAAAAATATAAAAACAAAAACTGGGCAACATCTGCCTATGCACCCTAACCTTCCCTCTTCCCCCAATTTTGGGGGAAGCCAAGTACAAATTTGGTAAAGCCAAGTACAAATTTGCAGTGTGTTCTCTGAAATACCTTTTCTCAACCTGGAGAGCCAGCCGGGCAATCTGGCGCTCTTCCTCCCTGGCCTTCTGCACGGCCTCCACCTTCTCTCTGTGGCACTCCACCATGATCCTTTGGATTCGATGCACCATGCGCTGTTCGGCAGCCAGGTTTTCTCTCTTCATTTCCTCACCCATGTTTTGAAACACCTCTGTCTTGGTTTTATCTGCCATTGCCTTAAATGGAAAAACTTGGTTTAGATATTACAGTTTTGATGTATTAGGTTGAATACTAAAATATTGGGTCTAAATCATAGTTTCATTTACTTGATGGAATGTTTGCCTATTAATACTGATGATTTGATTTTTTTTTTTTTTTTTTGGTTTTTCTCCGGTACCGGGAACTGAACTCACGACCTTGCGCTTGCCAGGCAGGTGCTTTGCCGCTAAGCTAAATCCCCAGCCCCGGATTTGAAAGGATATTCTGTATGATATGGAAACCTTTCATTTACATGGCAAGCAAAACCAAAAATGGACAAATTATGTAGCAAAAATATATATACTGTACAGATCATATTGAAAAGGAATATGCAAAACGAGAAGGGAAAGAAGGGGAAATTATGTATTTGTGTATATACAGGATAGCTAACATAGTTGTACTACTGTCTTCTGTTGCTCTACAGAAAGGAACAGTTAATGATTGCTTGTTTGATCAATCTTGTATGTCTCTGTTTTCCTGAGAAACCACTTTGAAGATATCAATAAGTAATATAACAACCATTGTTAATTTCCTACAACTTTGTCTGTCACTCTGTTTTGTTTGTATTGTTCTTATGCTATTTTGTAAATGGATGTCTGTTTGTTAATATGTTTTCCTTCTTTTATTTTTTAAAATAAAAAAAAGAAAAGGAATATGCCAAAAATGCTGGTTAGAGGGTATGGTTAAAATTTGTTGTTTAGAGTTGAAGGTCAAACTCAGGGCCTGGTACATGCTAGGCAAGCCCTCTAACACCGAGCTACAACCCCAGCCCAGGTCGTTTTTTCTTGATTATCATATTATCATTATATGCACAAAATGCCACAGGTAATTATACCTCCAGAGTATCCTCTGGGCTAGGAAGGAAATCAAGACTCTGGTAGAAAACAGACACGCATAACTGCAGTCACCAGAACCTGTCTTCCAGTCCTCACTCCTGAGATAATTAAGTCCAGGGGCCCTTTCTTATTAATGGAAGGGATAGAAACAAGAGCTCTACTATTCTGGGGTTGGAAGACCTGTAGATGGCTTTCATCCAAATAAAAAGAGGAAACACGAGTTAAACCAACACTTGGCAGAAGAATCTTACAAATTAGTCCTAAAGGAAAACTGTGTCGCCATCCCGGAAACACCTACCAACTCCACGGAATATCAGAGCCTCTCTTTGGTCCCAGTGCAACTAACAGAGAGGGCTGGGACCCTCATTCTCAGAGGACTCACTCTGTAGTTGAGCAGACCAAAAACCTAGTCGTGCACTGGGTGCTGTAGCAGAATTATAAGCAAGAAAGCAGGGGCAATTAATTCTGTCCAGGAGTTTCAAAACTTGTATTTAAAGATAAATTTTTATCTCTACTTTTTTAAAAGGAAGATATTAAGAGAACATACATAAATTACTTCACAAACATGTCAGTGAAATAACTAGGGGAAGAAAATCAGAGTTCTAGACTGTCAGCTTCTCCCTTCATTGCTGGTTGAGATACTAGAGTCTTTGAAGAGATTCATCCATTTAGTTTTCATTCCAGAAACCCTGTACATGCACACAAGATAGCATAGCTGACCTTCTTTTTTTTAAATAGCAAAATCTTTCCTTCAAATGAACTCTTAAGAGTTGAAAGGAACAAAAACAATAAAAGTTCTCCTGGCTGAAGGTTGCTCAATTCCCCTTAGCACCCTTTCTATGGTGCACCCAGAGAGAATCCTAAGCTGAAGCTGGAAGTCAAACGGAAATTGCTTTTAGCTTCTTACAAAAATGTTTCAACAATTAAAATATTTGTTCGATGGGCGGAGGTTATAGTTCAGTGGGAGAGTGCTTGCTTAGCATGCATGAAGACCTGGGTTCAATACCTTCACCAAAACCAACACCAAAACAAACAGACACCAAAACCATATTGTTTCACAGACTTTCGTTTTTTTAAAAGGAAAAAATTTTCATGCTTTTAACTTTTTGCTTTGGCTATTCCGAAGGGGGAAGAAAAGAAAAAGAGGCCACAAAACTCAACTTTATCTCCTCAGAGTGGCCTCTGTCAGTGTATTTTGAAAATCGTTTCAGGAAAATGCTAACTGGGTTTTCTACCCTGAAGAAAGTAGTGTCTCAAATTACTTTTTTTTCTTCAGGGGGGTGTCTTTTTTTTTTTTGAGACAGGGTCTTGCTCTGCAGTTCAGGCTGGCCTTAAGCTTACTTTGTAGCCCAGGCTGGTCTTGAACTCGCAATGACCCTCCTGCCTCAGCCTCCCGAGTGCTGGGATTGCAGGTGTGCGCCACCACACCCAGCTCAAATTACTATTTTTTCATAAAATATTTTGAATGCTAATGTCTCCAACTGTCTTTAATACTCAATTTAATGGAAAGAGTAGACTAAAACACTAATATTTTCTTGATGATATGGTCTCAGTAGGTAAGGATGAAAGATTACACTGGGTTAAAAACTTCATATGGCATTTAATAACTGCTCAGTTTCATAGGAATATTTGTCTCTGTCGTAAACGACCCCAGACTGCTTTGATACTGGAGATCTGGGATCTGTTCTTCGTAGTTTTTTCTTGTTCTCCCCAGGCCTTGGGCTGAGTACTATCTTTTCTGTTTCCAATGAACATTCTTAGTTTCCAACATTTACTCTATTTTGGATTTGAAAAATCGAACAACCCACTCTGTTGGGTTCAGTTTGCCAAGTAAGTGCAATGCCATCAGAGCAGGGAGGAGAGGTTCTACTGTGGAAAATAAGCCGGAGTTGTTCTCTGCAGCAGAGACTTTTACTTAACTCAGTGAAGGTCCTAGCATATTTTGGAGTTTTCAAGTATATGCTCAATAATTGAGACTACCAAGTGGTTGGGCTTCAGAGAGGTGAAGTATCATATAATACATATATTTTTTCTTGAATCATAGAATTTTAAAATTACACCTAACCCTTTATTTTGGGTGGCTTCTGAACTAGGACTCAGAGAATTAAACTCAGTCCCTCATTTATGTAATGGTTTGGTAAAACTAAGATCATTTTACTGCTTCACATAGATGTGGAAAACATATTTAAAGCTCCAGAAATAATTCAGTAACCTGCTATTTGGCAATGCTCTTATTTGATGTAGGGTCTGCTTTTACTAAAATGTATTTTGAATAAATCAGCCCACTTTGCGGGAGAAAGCTTCACGAACTGCAGCATGTTTCCTGTACAGATATCTGGAAGACATTTCTTTATATAATGTCGCTTTCAAGAAAAATTCCAGGTGTTGTAACTAAAATTCCTATGCTCTCCTGAGTCTGGTTTGTTTGATCTTAGGGATGATGATTCACGGTATCTCTCTCTCTGAACTAAGGGGCTGCTGTAGCCAACTCCTTGGGGCCCATGCCATGCCTGGCTGAAGTAGACCACTGGTGTCAAGCAGGCAGAATCCCCCTATTTGTTTAGAACCCTGGGGCAGAGGTCTTACCTACCAGTCCTCTGAGGGCGAGGGCACTCCACTTACTCTCACCTGTACAGAACACAGTGGATGGCAGGTGTCCATTACTGACACAATGAATGCCTGGGCCCAGAGTCTCTGTTTATTAATGTTCTTAGTAAGTCAGGCTAAACCTGGGCCAGGTCTCTGCTACTTCTTCCAGGTGCTGCCCATGTAACAGCACACCTGCTCTTTGTTTTATTCTGTTTTTTGCCCTGAGCCAAACGTGAAAATTGGCCCGTATCCTTGTTCTTTGAGCAGATTGTACAACTGAGGTACCAAACTAAACAACGAATCCCAGGGCTGGAAAGTGTATTAGTTACCTGGAGTCACGTGCTTGAACAAGTTGCAGGTTAGAAAGCATTGCCCTCATCTTGTGACCGTGGGCCTGCAGGGAATACTCAGGGACAGCTTAAACGTCCCTCTAGGCAGTACAAAAAAAGCAAATTTGGGGAAAAGAATGCAACAGGAAGGCAGAAGGAAGAGAACAGCCTGTGTGATTTGTTCAACAACCATTTAAGACCCTGCTAAGTCAAGGCACTGAGACGGGCACCAGGGCTAGTGGAAGGACGGAAAGACATGCCCTGATGAAAGCTGAGGCCATGAGGTCAGACATTAAACAACGAATCACACAGTTATTTAATTACAAGTGATGACTGCTGCGGAGGGGACCTAGGTGTCACGGACAGGCGGCAGGGCAGGGTTGGCCAGGTGACGCTTTCTTCGGAAAGCAAGCTATGAGGTTTTTCCCTCGCAGCGTCGTTGGTCCACAGAGCTCAGCATCTCCTCTGTGAACCTCTGAGGCTCCCGTTTAGCCTCTGTGACACACCAGCCCAGTCTACACGTTATTATCTTCTCCCTCATTCCCTTGCCAACCTAAGTACTTTATTTCTTCCACAAGCCATTCTGAAAAACCTGTAAATCTTTTTGATGTTTTTCTTCCAAAATCTGAATTTGAAACTGGTGTCTCTCGTACGCGTCTTCCAGTGCTCTCTCCACTGCTTGTTTTTGGCGTTCATTGGCCTTTGAAAGAAAGAGTCCAGCTATTTATTAATATTCTCGGGATGAACAGAGGGCAACTCATCATTACTTGCAACTGGTGGTAAGTCAGGTTTTCCCATTTACTGAAAATTAATTACTAGCTCAACTGCTGCCCTAGACCTCCACAGCAACCTGGCTGCCCTGGCCAGGGAAGCCCTAAACACATCCCGGACCATGGCTAACACTGCTGCTTCAGGAATTGTTAAAGATAGGGCAGCTTTACTGTTCATAGGTTGCTAAGCTGTCTTTTCTCCCTGGCATTATTTCTTGCTTGACTGTCAAAGCAATACATGCTCACAGGAGAAAATCTGGGAAACACAGACAGCGAACAGATACATAGAGTTAAGGGGTACTGAGCAAGGTGGCTGAGTAAAACTGCTTGAAGAGTTCAGAAAGAAGCTTATTACTTTATTTGAAGAGAATATTTGGAGCACTATGTAAACATATATCCCAATGATTACTCACAAAAGCGTCCCTTATATTAAGTTGTATGAGTAATGATGGTT